TCCAGGATGGCACATACTCACCCTGATTCCACATGCTTTTCCCGCCTTCCTTTACTCATTCCTGGACAAGGCAGGACCCTGTGCAGATGTTGCATCTACCAGCAAAGTGCATGCATGTAGACTGCCGCTGGCCGTGGCACCTTGATGGAGTGGTAAATCCTTCCCTCAGTTGCTTGCCAGTAGCTCCGTGATGGGCACATCTCCCAGTCCACTTCCTGTTTGCAGACGGGCTCTCCCTTGAGCACTGCTGTTCTACTGCCTGGTTCTCTGATATTCTGATTGATGAGGGGCCTTGGACCCGACCGTGCTGAGTGCAAGAAGCAGCTGCCAGTCACCTCACAGGAGCCCTCGGCCCAACGGGCCCGAGGCCAGCACTACCCACATCCCGTTCGCCCTCTCTCCTGCTTTCTTCTCTATTGATCTTCCCTCCTTCCCTGTGTGTCTCACGCTCACAGCCCCTCGGGTGCGAAGATCCGGTTCCCACGCCCACCCCTCTTTCTGAGCCAGACGGAGATGGGGCCTCCTCTTTGTAGTTGGTGAACATGTTCCTTGGTGTCTCACTCGGGCACTGTGAACTGCCTATTTCTTCTTGGGACTCCCTCCTCAGTTGGGTTCTGTGACTCTGATTCCAGGACTCACATTCATCCCTTCCCCACCATGTAGCCCCTGAGTCTGAGCCATGGGCTGGGCTGGAGCAGAAAAGAATGAAGAGCTGGTTCTTGCCTTCCAGGGTCCTGGAGAGGGGCCCCAGGGTCTGCACGCACTGGAGGAGGGCACTAGGGCAGGGCACGGGGTCCAGGGAGTAGCAGGGAGACTTCGTTCTCCCATCATGTAAGTGAGAACATGCCCCAAGGTTCAGCTCTTCCTCCTTCTCTATGAACCCTGAGCCGAGCCCCAGGATTTCGCGGCCATCCCCAGGCAGGTGCTCCAGCTCCATGTGCTAAGGGCCAGACTCACCCCGATTGCGCACCAGTCACTTTGAACCTAAGTATGAAGCCAGCGCATCTAGCACGCCCTCCCAATCCTACTCCCACCGCAGCTGATCTTGGCTGGGTTACTCGTCCTAGTTTTCTTGTTCCCTGAGGAATCAACTTCTACTTTCTCCCAGGCCCCCCACATCTCATCAGTCACCCAGGCTTATGCTGCTTCCTACTTGACATCCCTCTGCTCTGCGTGAGCCCTTTCTCTCCTTTCCCACTGCCAGGCAAATTCCGTATCTTCTGAGAAGCCTCCCCCGGGCCTGCCCAGCTCTGGGTTCTGAAAGCTCTTATTGTCTGTCAGTTTATCACTTGGCACTTAGTGTAGACTCCCTTGTTAGTTATATCTCCTTTTTTTTTCACTGTGTTTGTGACTTATCTTCCCCATGTCAGATGCCCAGTCTTTTGTATTGTACTTGCCCGCATTGCCCACAGCATTCACGGTGGTCGGTGACTGTTAGTTACTATCAGTAACTTGATTGGTCACGTAGCCAAGGGCGTGCTTATCAGGAGTCGGGGGTCTTCGAGGTCCTGCACCCTGGAGACTGCACCAGCTCGTGAATAATTCTTCCCTTCGTGACTGTGAAGCAGTTAGAAAAAGTGAGTCATCGCCATGCCCAGATGTTCTTCCTTATTAATAATCTTTATGAGACAACACGATTCATTCTAGAGAAGATATCGGCTTTGCCCTGGCTGGTTCTTCAGTGGTTAGCGTGTCGGCCCGTGGACTGAAGAGTCACAAGTTCGATTCCGTGTGGGAGGCAACCAGTCAATGTGTCTCTCTCACATCTCTCTCTCTCTCTCTCTCTCTCTCTCTCTCTCTCTCTCTCCCCTCCCCCCTTTTCTTGCCTCTTCTTCCTCTCTTCCACTTTCTCTCTGAAGATCAATGGAAAAAATTTTCTTGGGTGAGGATTAACCAAAAAGAGGAAGAGATGGGCCTCTAGTGAACCTGGCCTGGGTATGTGTATTTCAGTTTTCAACCCAGCTGAAACAAAGACTAAGAACAAGAGGGTGGGTTTCAGCTGATGCCTTTAAACCCCAGAAAATGCAGCTCCGTGGAAATGATTGTGTCCTTTTGCTTTCGGATTTCCTACTGTTTCTCATTTGCTCACATGGCCCCATATGTGGAAACCTACCTGTTTGCAGAAACCCAGAAAGGGAGAACAACTCATGCTTTTCACAGCGACTCTAATGATAGACGATTATCAATCAAGCAAAAGAAAAGTGACTTCCTCATTCAGAGCTTGGGATAACCCCAATGGTAACCCCCTAGAATGCATTTGCAAGTCGTACACACCCCGACATAACTTTGGTTAGAATCGAACACCCACAGGGCTGGTTGGTGCTGCTTGGTGCAGGTCGGAGCAGTTTAGCCTCATGAATAATAGTGGCCAGAAAGGTCCCTTGCCTTTGGCTGGAGGCCACAATGGGAAATGCCTCAGTTTCCCTGAGATTGGACCATAGTGAGCCCTGCTACGGATGCCCCGACCTCGTTTTCTAGTCATCTTAGTCACTGCACTCACCCAGGGGCTGGGCGTGCACGGTTCACCTTCCCTGGAGACCCTGCCCCTGTGCATCTCATGAGGTGGCTCACATCTCCATCTAAACCAGTGGTTCTCAACCTTCCTAATGCTGTGACCCTTTAATACAGTTCCTCATGTTGTGACCCCCAACCATAAAATTATTTTCATTGCTACTTCATAACTGTAATTTTGCTACTGTTATGAATTGTAATGTAAATATCTGATATGCAGGATGTATTTTCATTGTTACAAATTGAACATAATTAAAGCATAGTGATTAATCACAAACAATATGTAATTATATATGTGTTTTCCGATGGTCTTAGGCGACCCCTGTGAAAGGGTGGTTCGACCCCCAAAGGGTCGCGACCCACAGGTTGAGAACCGCTGATCTAAACGACGTGTGTGTGTGCCCATGTGCATGTGTGTGTGCGCGCACGTGTGTGTGCGCGCACGTGTGTGTGTGTGTGTGTGTGTGTGTGTGTGTAGTGAAACACACATAACAAAAAATGTCCCGGTGTAACCATTTTCAGTAGCTTTAAAAACATTGACCTTCTTGTGCAACCATCATCACCGTCCATTTCCAGGACCTTTTCATCTTGCAAAACCGAAACTCCGCATCCGTTAAACAGTAACTCCCCATTGCCCCCTCCCCCCAGCACCTGGCAGCCGCCATTCTACTTTCTATTTCTATGAACCTGGCTATTCTAGGAACCTCACAGAAGTGGATTCATACAGTGTTTGCGGTTTTGTGACTGGCTTCTTTTTATTTCGCATAATGCCCTCAAGGTTCATTCATGTTGTAGCATGTGTCAGAATTTCCTTCCTTTTTGAGGCTGAATAATGCCCCATTGTGTGTGTGTGTGTGTGTGTGTGTGTGTGTGTGTATCACATTTTGTTTATCATTCACCCATCAGTAGACACTCGGGTTGTTTCTACCCCTTGGCTATTGTGAATAATGCTGCCATAAACGGGGGTGTGCAGATATATCTGTTCGAGTCCCTGCGCTCATATCTCTTGGGTATATACCCAGACGTAGCCTTGCTGGATCATATGGTGATTCTATGTTTAATGTTTTAGGAGCTGCCATACAGTTTCCATAGCAGCTGGACCACGTTACATCCCCACCAGCAGGGGTTCCAGCGTTTCACGTCCTCGCTAGCACTTGTTTTTTCTGGTTTTTTGATCGCCATGCCACTGGGTGTGTGGTAACATGTCATTGTGCTTTGCGTTTTCCTAGTGGTTAGCGAATCGGAGCATCTTTTCACGTGCTCATTGGCCATTTGTAGATCTTCTTTGGAGAACAGTCCTTGGCCTGCTCCTAATTAGGTTGTAGGATTGTAAGTGGTTGCTGAGCCTAAACTATTTTGTGCCCAGGAAACAGCAGCTCTCGTCTTCAGCCGCTGCTGATAGCAACAACATGGCCAGCCTTTCCTGAGCCCTCACATCCCCTCGCACGGTGCTGAGTGTTTGTATGGATTTCCCCCCTTTATCCTCACAGCCACCTGTTGAGGACTATGTTGTGATCATCTCCACTTTACCCTTGAAGGAACCACAGTGTGGAGGCCTTGCTCCCCGTATCACAGCTGCTGAATCAACAGGGTGTGACCCTGATCGGACTGGTCTCCAGGGGATGGCACCGAATTCCTAGCCCCACCCACCCAGGGAGCTGGCATTGAAACAGCTTCTTCAGTCAGCAGTTCATCCACACACACGCTTGAGAGAAGTGATTTGATAGGAAACCACCCCGGCCTCAGGACCTGGGTCCCCACAGAAAATTCCATTTTCTTCCATATAGAGAATCACTTCCGAAAACCCCACAGAAACGTGGGGCATTTGAAGTGCTAAACCCTCAGCTGCTCAGAAAACGCTTTCTCAATGGAACGATGTGACGCGTTCACCAAGGACCCAAGTCCCCACCTAAGTTCATTTCGTGGGAGGACGCAGCATTGTTCTCAGGGTCCAATCCTTTCCCCACTTGCAGCTAACAGCTTTGTGACCAGCAGCCCTTTTTCATCTGAGATGCACAGCGTCTCTCGCCCGCAGTCTGTCCAGATCTGGAAGTGGGGAGGGAGAGGGAAGGCAGGGGGCCCTCATCTTACCCCTCTGGGCGCCAGCTCCCCGGCCCTGGGAAGATCTAACACAGGCTTCTTTGGGGATCATTCTCTGTTCCTTTTATGTTGGGCCTTATCTGGCCTTGGGTTCACACAGCCCGGGCCGGGGCCGGGGCCGGGGCCAGAGCCCTGACTTTGGGCTGGGAAGAAGCTGGCGGAACATTCCCCAGCAGGGCTTGGGCAGGCCCAGGGAGTCCCGCCTAAACTGCAGTGGACAAAGGCGCCCTTGTCCGCAGGCCTGGGGGTGGGAGGCATCTGGTCAGTGACACAGGCTTGGCCATTGTATGTCGTGACCTCAGCCAACTTTTTTTAGCTGAGAAAGGGGAAAAAGAGAGAGAGTGTTAAAAAAAAAGGGGGGGTGGGTGGAGAAAGAACTCCCCGAGAAGCTGCATCTGGAAAGTCGAGCGGCGATGACTTCCCACAAGGGCTGGAGCGGATTTGGAAGGAACTGTGCAATGTAGCGGGTTCTTTGTGAAAGAGCGGCCCTGAGAGAAGCCACAGGAACATCCTCTGGGTGCCCGGAGCCCTGACCCGGGGAGCCGCTCGCTTCAGCCTCGTTTCCCGCAGAGGGTGCCATGCGGAGGCAGCTGGCGGGGGCCTGGCCCTGAGTCCGGGGACTTCAGACAGGACCCCAACCTCTCCTCCGAGTCGCAGCCCCAAGGAGATGAGCTGTCCTCTGATGGTAAGAACTGACCCTGCTCGCCTGCCCATGTGTGGGCTCAGCTTGCTTTTCTTCTGCGTGTTTCCAAATTGACTTCGACGTTTTAAAGAGGCAGCTCTGACAACCTGGAGCTGTGGGCTCCAACCGTTAAACTCAGAGGGCCTGGGGGCCCTGAGTGCTGGGGGCGCCTTTCACGGGCCCGGGCATGAGCAGGGAGGAAAGCATGCTGGGCCGTTGTGAGAGAAGTCCGGAGAAGAGGAGGGGAGGAGGACAGAGATGGAAAGAGGGATGTCCATGGCGGGAAAGGGACTCTCAGCTCCCCCGGTTCCCCGAGCAGCAGAGCGGCGCTTGGATTTCTCTTGCGGGGATTGCAGTCCACCTGTCACCGCCCAGTTTAACTTTCCCACATATGAAGCTTGGCTTACAGCCATCTACCCACCTGCCTTCTACCCCATGGCCCAGTTCTAGCCGGGACACCACAGGGTGAAAGCCCATCAGGGGACATAGCTTTCCAGAAGGTAGTTGAGTATCTGCCCCGGAGACCCAGTGTCCCCATGGTGGTTCCAGGCTGGGCTGGATGCTTGTGTCCAGTTGGATGGTGGCGGCAGTGGCCATAATGGAAATAATGGACACGGCCCTTAGACCTGGGTAGACCTTTCTGCTCTGGGAAGGTAGCCACCCCCCTCCTTTGGGAAGCGGGCCCTCTCATCAGCCTAGACCTCCGTGAGCACCGCCCTGAGGCTCTGGCAGCTGGGGAGGTCCAGTTTCCATGGAAAGGCTCGTCCGTGTCCACACCTCTTTCTGGAACACTCTCTTCCCCACTCGGCTTCTGATGGGGCCCCAACCGGTGCCAGAGAAGGAGATGGTGCTCGTCACCCAGGTGCAGCCACTGACGGGCCAGTTCACCTCCTAGAAAGTTCAGAGCAGGGCTGCCCAACGGTCAGGGCGCATCTAAGTTGTCCCCAGGGCAGGGCCTGGGGCTCTGCATTTATAATCAGCTCCAAGGCTGCTCACACGGGGACACACCTGAGAGACGGCGGTAAAGGCCCCAGACCGATCAGCCAGGACCTGGGGGGCTTAGGGGTTTGTGGGAAGAGGGATTCACAGAGAAGATGAACACTAGGGACATTCAGGGAGCGGGGAAGGGCCCGGGCAAGGCTCTTGGCAGAGTGGGTCAGGCAGACACGGAGGTGTGTGGGTTTGGGTGTAGGCGGTCGGCGGGGTGCCCACGCGTCAGAGGACTGTGATCGGGGTGCAGGGTGAGTGGACAGAAGCGCTGACTGCCGGCAGGCCCGGAGCAGTCCGCTGGCGCCTGCCTGGGCCTCGGGGCGAATTCCAGCTGCAGATGCAGGGAGCCCGGGATGCCAGGCAGAAAGCAGAGGGCTGGCACACACAGCTCCGCTGAGTGCGGCTCTGGGCGTGACGGGGCGGGGGCAGGCGACGTGGGCCCAGGGGTCAGAGGACTCACCACACTCACCACGGCCAGCGGTGGAAGCCCGGCACCCGGGCGGGGAGGCAGGTCCCCGGCGTTCGGGCCTGGGCAGTGCTCCAGGGACAGGCTGATGCCTCTGAATCCCGTGTCTACCCTTGAATGTGACTTTGCCTGGAGACCATCTGGTCCAACTTCTGTATTTTCAAGATGAGGAAATTGAGGCCAAGCCGCAGAAATGGGGTGGGTTGCTCAAGATCTGACAGCAAGACAGCCCAGCCCAGCCCTCGCAGTCGCGTGCGGGTCACAGAGCGGGGGTCCCGAGCTTGGGAGCAAGGCCTCGCGCTCACCACGTCTGGTTCTAAGCCCACCCGCGGCAGAGGCCCAAACGTGCGGCTGAGTTGGGTTGGAAGGGATGGTACTGACTTGGGGAAACTGTTCCAGCGTCAGCCTCAGTCTCCCTCTGGTGTGTGTGGCTCAGAACCAGCTAGGCCTCGCTGGGGCTGGGTCTGCAGTCAGAAGTCTTGGCTGGCACCACCTGGCGCACAGGCATGCGTGTGTCTGGCTGAGAAGACATGTGCTCTGGTTTTCCTTGGTGCCTTCCGCCCGCCCCGGGGCGACCACAGAGCTGGGCAGCAAGATTGCAGCCCCATCAGCCACCCCGGTGCCCTAATGAGCTCAGCGCCTTTCTAAAGGGCACCGGCCCCAGAGGAAGCCTGCCCTTGCCCCCAGGGCCTCGGTGGGCGGCAGCAGCTCACTGGGCCTTGAAGTTCCTGGCAGGCCGCTCTGCGCGGTACCGCCTATGACAGCTGAGCTAGCAACTTTCAGCTCCCTCTTCACTTTCCTTCTTCAGTCAGTTTTGAATGAAACGGGATGTTTGATAAACTCGGTTACAGGGTTTTCTTCAGAGATGTAGCAAGGTTAGAAAGTGTCAGAAACATGGCATAAGGCATGATGGGGTTTTGCATCTTAATATGAAAGGAAGGCTGGGAAGGGCTTCACTAGTAGTTCTTTTTCTCCTGTCCCCTCTCCACACCCCCCTCCCCACCCCAAACCAAGTGTTAGCAACTGTTCCCAGGCTTTCTGTCTGCAAAGAAATTGGCCCAGGAGTCACCTGGAGGGGCCCTCACGCTATGAGGAGCTTCCTAGGGAGGTGACCTGCTGTTGGCGACCAATGGTGGCCGAACCCCAAAATGTCCTTCAAAGGCATTCTCTAGGGTCATAAACTGGTGGAGAGGGTCTGGGAGGCATTTGGAGATTCCTCATGGCGACAGAAGGTACTGAGCTCCAGCCCCGCTCCTTCCTGGGACAGAGGGGACGTTTCAATCCCAGAGGCCAGAGCCGTGGCTGGCGGCAAGGCAGCTCTGAGCGGTACCGCCAAGGTCAGTGTCTCAGCTGGGGCCTGTGTTCAATGCCTTCCATTCCTGTTCGGTCTTTACTGGCGTCTAGGACAGCGTTTCTTCCTCCAGCTGAGCAGATTTGGTTGACTACATACAACCATCGCCGGCCCCCAAGAGTTTGGGGGAACCATGTCAAAAAAAACAAAGTCATGGGTTACGGACATTGACGTTCCTGTCAGGTCTGGGTCACCTCTTTTGTGTGTGTGATTGCTGCTTTTGTACGCTTGCACTTGTCCTTTAAATGTCTTGCCATTTCCCCTGTGGTGGCTTTGGTCTCTGTGACGAAAGACGGTCCGAAGGTGGCGGAATCCGGTGTTTGAGGTCAGGCGTCCCCGGTTTTACCGATGAAGAAATGGCCAGAGAGGCACAGGCCTTAAATCACAGCGTGGATCGGGGACACGGTCTCTGAGCCCGGCCTGCGTGCTTCCACGATGCTTCTGCGGCCCGAGGAGCAGGTAGGCTCCCAGGGGCCATGCGATGTGTATCTGCCGGGAGGGGGTGGGAGGAGAGGGACCAGCCTTCCCGGGCAGCCGTGAGGAAGTTGAATGATTGGGTAGAAGGTCTGTCAATCACAGGTGCGGGCAAAGTCACTCGGAAGTGGGAACAGGCTGAAGGGACCACCTTGCCCTTCAAGCTGCAAAACTTCAGGATCAGACGGGCCTTAGACATGCAGCAAAACGTAGGGCCTTTCTCTGGGTTCCCCAAGCCCTCGCAGGCCAAGGTGAGGAAGCAGCCGCAGCTTCCCAGGCGACCCCTGGAGCTGTTTGTATTTCGGGAGCACCTGTGGGAACACCCTTCCCCTGAGTGGCCTTAAACAGCCATGAGGCCTTCGGGCACCTGCTCCAAACCCCCGTCATCGGCAGGAGTGACCGTGATATTCGGTGGCACAATCCTGCTGTTTGGCCAAAGCTGAGGCTCTGAAGTGGGCGTCTCTCAGATCCGTCATCCTATTTGGTCCCACTGGGCAGATGCCACCAGCTAAAGCCGCAGCCAGTTCCGTCCGAGAAGTTTGCTGACTGCCAGAGGTCTTCATTTCTACTCTGTCTCCTTTGGAACCCTGTTAATCGGCCCTTCTCTCTTGTGTCTGTATGGCAGGTGCAATGATAATAAAACCTCTTTCCTCCAGTGTCAGAGGATTAAGCGCTCACGCAGGAGTGTGTAAAGCTGGCGTGGAAGCCACTTCCTACAGGATCGCTTCCTTCCCACCCTCTGCTGTGTGTCCCTCACACACTTCAGGTCGTGGAATGGCTTCTGCACCAAGAGCAGCCGCCCAACTCTTCCTTGAAATTCCCAGAGTCGTTCGCAAACTCTTCCTGGATCCTTGCCCCTCTGCAGACCTCGTCTGGCAGCTTAGTGGGCTGTCCTGGGAGGGCTGACTTCCTGCGGCCTTGCATGGGCTTCACTGTAATTGTGTTCATCAAAATTCCTGGGTAACCAGATCACTCCATTCCTCTTTAGGATCAGAAAATAGAGTTTATTGTTCTGTGTCCTCTCCCTGCCCAGTCCTGACAACAGGCCCAGCTCAGACCCGAGTTGATTGGCTTGCAGATGGGTGGGCAGGGTGGCTGGGGCCTCCCTGAGACTCCCGGGAGCTCGACATGTCTGCAGGCTCAAAAAAGTTCAGCCTCAGGCCCGTGGCTGGCAGCGCTGTGGGTGCTGGGAGGAAACTCCCACGGCACTGATGCCCACTCTTGTCATGGGTGCCAGTGACATCACAGCGTCAGGCTTCCTGTATTCCATGTTGGATATCCATTCAGTCAGAGCCCCCCTCCACTCCCCAGAGGTGGGATTTGTTCACAGTGGGGCACGCACGTTGCTGGGACGGCCATTCCCTGTCTACTTGTTTGGTGAGATCGCTTCTTTAAACCCATTTAAAGGCCAGTTACTACCACAGTCCCAGCTTCCATCCATCCATCCACCCAGCCGTCCAATATTCTGGGTATACTATGTGGAGACTAAGACTAGGAATAAGATCGAGGCGGCCCTGCCTTCTTGAATTTACAGTCTGCTTCTCTGTTGTGTGGCTTCTTCTCCTCCCTCTGGCCAGGTCTCCAAATCTCTCACCCTTAGAAGAGCATGACGATGCTGCCAGCATCCATCCTCTCCCCACCAGCCTGTAACACCACCTGCAGGGATATGCTTCCCAGGATGCACTGCGCCATTGCCATGGTGCCCTACCTCCTCCCCAGCTA